TGCTTTCGCGTACGCATATAAAAAGCTTTGAATAATAATAACAATAAATAAACGAGTAATTATAATCAACATCCCCTTAATCGTTTAATACCACATAAAATTTTGCCGGCAAAGAGGGGAAAAGAAAGAAAGTTTCCATGGAAAAGTCGATTAGAGGGCGTGGAGATTTATTTAAAATTGCCTTAAATTAAATGTTTGGCAGCTATTAGCAGTGGAATCTGATAGGCCACAGACTGTTTTAAACCATAGTGTATATCAAGGAGGAAAAGTGCCAGAATATATTGAGAAAGGGGGAAGAAAAATGGCCAAGAATGAATAAACTGTGTTTGTCACGAAAATACGAAAGAAAAGAATAAATACTCGGGTTTGAGGAGATAGAAGGAAACGTATTTCTAGTCTTCCAGTTGCTAATTACGGAATGAAAGCTAATTAAAGATGTAATACAAATAGTAAAGAGTAAAAAGAAAAAAATGATCGTCAAATTCGAATAATGTAATTTCCTTTATAAAATACGAGAGGATGTTTAAGCTATCCGAAATATACAGATATTTAGGTTGTTATATTACCGAAATTAATTTGATTTAATCGTTTGTTGTTAAGTCGATAATCGATTATTGCGTAAGAGGTGTATTTATTCGAGATCATAAAGAGCGAATAATAATTCAAATTATTATTATTTTATCAAAGTTACGTTAATTCGACGTTTTGTTATGGCTTTAAGATCCCGTAAGAAGCTTAAATTGTAAGAATACCATGTAAATTAAATTTTATTTTTATAATTTAGATTATCGGGGAAGAAATTTTAATAATTCAAATTATTATTATTTTATAACAGTTTTAGGGCTTTAGGGTCCCTTAAGAAGCTTAAATTCTAAGAATACTATTTAAATTAAATTTAATTTTTGTAATTTAGATTGTCGGGGAGGAAATTTTCTAAAAAAAAAAACAAAACCGCCTGTTTTAATCTGTTTAAAAAATTACGAAAGGGCGACAAAATTATTCAGGATCGACGAGATCCACTTCCCTGTGCGAATTCGCTTAAAAATTTTGCATATTCGTAGATCTATGGGGTCGTAATCCTGATGCCAATCCTCCCCTGGGTCTACAGGGGTGGGGTTATGGGGATGAAGGAGCAGCTCTGCGAAAATCAAACTAAATTCGTAACTTTCGAACAATTAAAGACGTCTTAATAAAGTTTGCCCAAGAAAATAGAAAAGTGAGGCAATTTTCACGATTTATATAGATCCTTTCGAATACTCCAAGCCAACGGGAAACTTTGTATTTTTGCAAAATCTTATTTCCACTGTATTTCACTTTAGGTTTTCGCTTCACAGAGTAAAGTTATTCACGTGTATTTTTATTCGACGTCTTCGTTCGAATATTCTGCAGCGGGTTTAGCGTGAAGGAAATGGTGCTTTAGACATTCTAAAGGCGCACCAAAATACTATATTGTAGCTGCCAGGGTAGCACGGAATCCAACGATACACAACCATGTTTGAAAATAAAGTGCTTTTATACTCGTATATCGAGCAATACCGTAATATTTTCAGAAACAAAAATATAAGACATCAAGGGTGTATTGTTAAAATTGAAAATCTGTGTGTTTGTGATCGTCCCTGCAACTCGTACTGTTTTTGATGAAAATATAAGCATCCCGTTCAAGGAACAAATAAAAGTATTAGAAGGCAGCGAGGAAACCTTTTTAAAAATAATAGAATTTCTCCTCGGAATGTAGTTTAGAAGGAAATTCTATTAATAAACGACGGTGCAAGTTTTTTTTAAACCTTGGTCGTCCCTTGTGCTCGACTTGTCGCGTCCAAATATATACGTTCCGACACACCTGATCGTCGTTAAAAAAAAAAAAAGAAAAAAATGGCGAGCCATAAGCCCGCATAATTCGTATCTTCCAATCGCGTGGCGAGCAACGAATCAGCAGCTCGTCCTTGGGAAATGAGAAACAGCTACTCGATCCGAGCGGCAAATACGTGGCATCGAATGGCAACGAAGAAGAAAATTGAGCGGTGAACGGTAAAAATACCGATACGAGATCCGATAAAGCCAAGGGGTGAAACACGAGAAGAAAAGAAGGAAGCGCAATCCGTGGCAGCGTGCGTTCGAGTCTCTGGAACCTCATAGGTTGCTCTCAATTAGGTATATGGCTCGACGTACCGCGAATAATACAAAATTTTAACAATATGTATTCGAACACTGCGAGAGATTTTGGTCGAGTAGCCATGTTTGTTTGTTAGGAAAATTTCAAAGCATCGATCGTCTCAAAATACAGGATGTCACGCATTTTTCCGTACACACGCTTCAGCAGTGTGTTCTACAAGTAAAACTAAGACTAAAATGTTATATAACAAAAAGTCCATAAATGCTTTTTTGAGAAGTTACAAGAAAAATATGAGCTGTGAAACTCGTTTAAGATTCGAGACATTAAAATGAGAAAAAAAATTTATAATAAAATAAAATCGATCTTTTGAACATGAACTTGAACAATAGTTCGAAATTTTATGGCAATGAAAAGTTATCGGCGAAAAAAGAATACTTCAACATCCAAACTAAACTCTGACAAATAATTGTTCTTCGTGCCTCGGTTAGTAGTTGCTCTCTTTAAACAATATTTTAGTAAATCTGTTTGTTTAATAAATGAAAGAGCATCAGGTTGTATTTTTGTCATAACTTCTTAACAAAGCATTTATGAACTTTTTGTTGTATAACACTTTGGATTTAGAACACACTGATGAAGTATGGAACACCCTGTATATGCAGGGTATCTAATAAGCGACAGTACCGTGGTAATTCTACATCAAAAAGTGAATCAAAAATGTAGAATAAAATTTCTCCATTCGAGGCTTTGTTTTCAAGAAAAACGGGTTTGACAATTTGTGGGGCACCGGATTGCCTCGATACAAGGGACGATATTTTCGTAAAAGAAGAAGAATTTAAATACGTTTATATTTTTCTTGCATTGTTAAATACGAAAATAAATCCGGATGAAATAACAAAAGAGCCAAAGGTTTTACAAGCATCCATATTTTCACTGAAAACTACATTTCGCAAGCAAAAAACATCGACCAAATATAGGTTATCATCAGATGCAAACAAATTGCATATATAAATTAATTATATAAACGCCAAAATGTTTTTAAAAAATTTCGTTTCATTAGTTTAAAACGTACGTTATTTTTAATACTTCAAAATATAATTTTAATGCAATCAGCATGCCTATAATCTTTTGTTCTTTTTCTTTTCCAAAGGAAACAAAGTTTCTACTAATTTTGTTAAATTTTTGAAATTGAAATATGTTGATATTTTTTCGTCCAGGTGACAGTTGTGTATGTGGAAATGCGAAGTGAAATTGCATAGTACGCACGTGCATAATTACTTACAATTAAATTGTGGCATAAAGGGTCAAAGGGAATGCAGAATACATATGTGTACAAGTTTAATAAGATCCCTGGGGGTGCAGCCTGAGCCTGGAAGAGTGGGTGGTAGTGTTGGAACATTGAGGAGGGTACAATTCCTCTTTTGCAACTCTCCAACAAGCATTCATTTTTTAACCATCGAAATTTTTTTATACCTAACAAGACAAAAGCATTTGGTATTACAACACACCGCGACATATCTGTTTAAATGAAATATTTTTAATTTATTTCTGTCCGCGAAAATGGCATCGTTCCATCACCTGTTTTCATTATAAATAAAATCCCTGACGAAGTTCGATCGCTCAAACGAAATACAGAATTAAATCTGGGACTGCATTTCGAGCACCAGAGTAGGGAAATTAGTTTTAATCGATAAAATATTTAATTTTATTACGAAACATTTTAGCGCAGGGTGGCGAAATGAGGGTTCCATGGAAGTTTGAAATTCTATGAAGAGTTTCAGTACGCAAAAAATATTTCTTGTTCGACCACTCGAAATTTGTACACCCTAATTCGCAACACTGGATCTAAATTCAATGGAGAAATTATTAATTCGTACGAAATTCAATATTTATCAAATTTAAAACACCCCTATTTTTTGTTATGCTTCACTATCAATCTTGTAAAGCAGAGTAAAGCATTTGCACATTTTGATAGTACTTATGAAACGTGAATATCTTAATACGTACAAGAGAAAACGTCAATAATCCAATGTTTTCTAAACATAAATATTTAAACTGCAGACTCGTATGTCTCGATAATAATTTTTCAATGTAAAATATTGCAGAATCGCTCGAGTCGAAATCTTTTTATACGTAATAGATTTCACCATAGTTCACCCCCAAATTGTAAGAATATAATATTCACACAGGATAAGATAAAAATGTATAATTTATCAAAAATTGGTAAATTCCTCGTTTCGGTATCAATATTACGATATTATCTACTGCAAAACACATTTCACAGATACCAAGGCAATATTACTACAATTTTCCTGAAAATCAGACTCCATGCATACTGAAATGAAACTCTATAATTTTTCCAAAATTCGACTTTCACTAATTTCAAAATACTCATTATTATAAACATTCGGATAATTGTGAAAATGTGAATTCAGGCAGGATAAAATAAAAATATATAATTTATCAAAAATCCTTAATTTCCATATCTCGGTATCAATTCCTTTTACAGATACCAAGGTAACGTTACTATAATTCGTTACTAAAAATAAGGCCAAACAAAACAAAAATTCAGCAATTTTCCCAAAACTCGACTTCCACTAACTTCGAAATACCCAACATTACAAACTCTCGTATCAGGGTATGAATCAAACAGAGCTGATTCACGCTCTTCAACGACTGCTCGATCGGAACAGCCACCCGCAACACACATCATCCGCCAGCGTCCCCGCGCCTCGACAACGGTTCCGTCAACCGAAACATTTACATTTCCAAGCACCACTCGGTACAGAACAATCACGACCCTTTCCCGGCGGTTTGCATAAGAAGCAGTTCGTGCCGCGCGCCGGAGAACATCAAACCGAAACGAGTAAAAGCATTTTCGTCACAGTACCTGTTACTTCTCCCGATATATCTCTTCCCCCGGTGTTCCTCCGATGCCGCACCACCTGTTCGTGCTCCAGATTCTCCGTCCCCCACCCCCCTCCACTGCAGCTGTCCTCGTCCGCAGACGTTTAACTATGCCGACGCCGGAGGCTTCGAGTGCCAAACGCGAGTCTCCACCTGGGAGACAACCCCCGGGGATCAAAAAGGGGGATGATTAATCGAACGGCTCGAGAGTGGAAAAAAAACGTAAGCACCGTGTGGCGGACTGAACCGCGATCGTTGGGAGATACTGTTTGGCCCGTTTACCGGCGCCCGACAGTCTCGTGGTCGAGGATGTTTCGGCGTCGGGGGTCGCGACGTGCCTACCCGACGCGTCGCCACGGGTTCACGGGGCTGCCTCCTCTGCTCTGTCTTTCCTCCAACCCCAGAAGCTGCGCTTACCTGTCACTGCGCACACTCCCGGTGAAAACCACCCCACGCGACAGCATGGGCGGATCTATATGTGGGCTAATTGGGCTACGAGGAATGGGATCAAGTTCAATACGAATCCGTGAATCGATGCGCGGAACCGTCGAGGGCAACGGGACCGCTCGGGCGCGATTCTCGACTTCCGTCTCGACGGTTCACCCACGGATAGTTTCACTATACTCCTCTTACGAGGACTTCGATTTTAACGATCCCCTTTTGCCGTACGTAAAATGTTAAGCGTCGATAGCGAATAGTTTCTGAGATATGAATTATTTAAACGGGGGGGTTTCTTAATATTTACAAGATTGGTGCAATAAAAACACAAAAATTTCAAATAAATTTCTGCAGTTAATTTTTCTAATTTTCATAGTAATATTGCTGGACTTCCATGGTTATAGTAATTTAAGTAATTTTATTTTAGCAGAAGCTATAGTTTTATAAGCCCGCGTGATAATTCAGTTTTTCAGATTTCGAGTTTTGTACCACCCCAAAATATTAATTCGGTTCGTAAGATTTTGTGTATTTTTTGTAATGGAATAAAATATGTACCAAGTAAGTCTCAATTGATGTTGCAATACTGTTGCAATTTCGAGAATTGCCTTCTCCCAGGCTCTAACGACGCTCACGTACTGCAATCACATACTGAATCGTCTCTAAGTGTCGCGATAGTTATAGAGAAGAGGAACTCAAATTGGATGAAAACACAGGGTGTAATTTTGTTTGATGCTCTACGAAAATGTTGTTTAATACTTTTTTGTAGGTATGAGCTCTAGTTCAGAAAAAAATTTCATTGAAATATATCAACTATTGTAGGAGTTATGAACGTCTGAAAATTGGACGACTTCTATGGGGATTTTCTCACTTTACGGGGGTCAAGGAACAACTTTTCCAATATTTTTAGAATTTCTACATATTCTCTACTAAAATACGCGTCATTTGCATTTTGAAACATTAATATCCTTCAATCCGTTCAGAAGTTATGATGTTTTAAAGATACTCATGAAATTGCAGGCCTCATTAGATTTTCGGTAAAGAATTTTTTTCTCGAAAGTACGTAGGATTTTTGGGATATGTGTATTGACCAAAAATGATTATAATTGACCCCCGCAATCAAAAATAATTTTTTCTGAATGACTTGAAATTTTTCAATTTTGCTGAAAAATTTCAGTGAAACCTGTCAATGTATGGTCAGACATTACATTTTCGGTAAGAATTTTTTTTCTCGAAAGTGCGTAGGATTTCGGGGGTATGTCTATTGACCAAAAATGATTATAATTGACCCCCGCAACCAAAAATAATTTTTTCAGAATGATTAGAAATTTTTTAATTTTGCCGTAAAATTTCTGTACTTATTAAATTTTTTTCTCGAGTATGCGTAGGATTTCGGGAGTATGTCAATTCATCAAAAATGTTTGTAAGTGATCCCCGCAACCGAAAATAATTTTTGCAGAACGATTTGCAATTTTTTTTTTCATCGAAAAATTTAGGCACCTACCCCCTTGTCGATTATACTTACAAATTCGTCTTTCATTTTTAATAAATTTGGTTCGCGCTGTATAGAAAAGTTGTTCAATACTTTTTCATAGGTACCCATGAGCTCTACTTCAAAAAAAAAGTTTCATTGAAATATATTCACTATTGTAGGAGTTATGAACGTCTGAAAATTGGACGACTTTTATGGGGATTTTCTCACTTTACGGGGGTCAAGGAACAACTTTTCCAATATTTTTAGAATTTCTACATATTCTCCACTAAAATACGCGTCGTTTGCATTTTGAAACATTAATATCCTTCAATCCGTTCAGAAGTTATGATGTTTTAAAGATACGCATGAAATTGCAGGCCTCATTAGATTTTCGGTAAAGAATTTTTTTCTCGAAAGTACGTAGGATTTCGGGAATATGTGTATCGACCAAAAATGATTATAATTGACCCCCGCAACCAAAAATAATTTTTTCAGTATGATTTGAAATTTTTTAATAACTTTTTAACGAAGCCTCAATCAACAAACTGGTATTCTCGATTTTCGTTTTACTTTGGCCTCCAGAATCTCCCATTCAAATTCCACATAATTTTAGATTGCACTATAATATATTAATAAACATATTCCTCGATATTATCAAAATATTATTCGGTGTAGTGCTACAACGTCGAACTGACATTGAAATAAAAATAGCTTGTCAAAGTGACAGTAACGAACACGTATAATGAAGGGTTAACTTACAATTACACTTTGTAAAATATGAATTGTACCAAGAAACGATATTTTTATTTATCCCGATGGACTTGGAGTGCTATACTATAGCCTGCCACCCTATAAGATATTGATATTCCCCGAGATATAAGTACATGATCCCATTCCAGGCAACAGGCTCTTTTATTTGAATTATGCATAGGAAGGTGCGAAGAGAGATTTATGTTGCGAAGTGTTGACCTTATGAATATAGACGTCTTGGCTGGGCGATATACTGTGTGTGGGGGGGGGCAGAAATACTGAATATTTATTTTATAAGGATTTCGATCTCTCGAGACTCCGTAGGATGTTGCTTAATGTCTTTTCAATGAGCATTACACGCAAAGCATTTAAGCGGAGACACCTAAATTACCGCATCTAGCTACACGCAGGGTGTCATGTTTAAACCGAATATATAAATTTGTTCTGCTATTATTGAAAGTAGAAAAAAGGAAGCCTCTCTTTAACACTAGAACTACCGACAATTATAGTGTGTTTATTTGTATCAAAAAAATTGAAACGATAGATAAGAGAAGAAATATATAATGGAATGAAAATAAGCGTTTATATATTTTCTTATAGAAAATTACGATAAATTTTCAAAAATACAGTCGAGTACATTTTTTACAAGTTTTATTAGAAATTACGAATGGGCCATTTTGACTGGTTTGGTAGTTCTACTGTTAAAATAGTCTTCGAAGTTATTCCAACTTTTCCATATTTTTTATAGTGCTGTATTATAGCTAAAATCAAGATGAATTCAACAACCTATGATGATCTTGAGACGAGTTCGAGGAAAAGAAAAAAACAGTTAAATTAGAATAATTTGTTACGTAAAAATAATGAAACAAGAATTCCACTTTAGAAAACGAAGATTAGAAATATTTTTGTCAAAACTGAGTAAATTTTCAGAGAAATACCGGTTTTAATATAAACACGTGCATCGATATTGTTCGATAGAATGTTTCCTCAACGATGTAATTACAATTAAATTAATTACGGTTCAGATAACTGAATTTTCCGAGGTACTTGGAATCAAATTAATTATAACTTAAATGATTCGATTGTATGAAACTGTTTACTGTGATTTTTCATCTCACTTCACCTTATAATTCCCTTGTTATTAGATTCCATCGCTTAATTGAAACATGTATTTTTACGTAGAATAAATTTCTCAAAATCGCGTAACAATTTCTAATAATATAAAATAAGGAAATTTATATTTATTCTTATCACGTTGAATTGTAAACTGACCAGAAAGTTCAAATATACCTTTCGCTAATCTTATTGTATTTTTCTAATTCTTTGAATCATTTTGAGAGACTCTGGGAGACTGCTGAAAGCTCAACTTGAAGTGAAACGAATATCGTTCGAAACGTGAAACGAAACGAAAACTATATTCGTTTGAAAGTTTAAATTTATTCAATTTGGTTACAAACAAAATCTACGTTTCAACGAAAATATCCAAAATGCAAAAATTCTACGGAATTCACTTAAAAATTGATTGCACGCGTGTCCGCGGTTGCAAAAGAATTCTTCGTTGCGAAATCGAATAATCAGTTTCACATAATACATGAAAGGTAATTCGATATTCCAATAATTGGTTAATACGTGAACCAATAAATCTATAAATACTGTGACGACCGAATATTAAAATAACTGCATTTCTTCGTGGCTTCGCGTCGAAGCAATTAACAACCGTTACCGCACGAAAATAATAGAAACACGTCGAATTGGTAAATAGATAAAATATTGTTCGCGTGCAATCCGCGGATCCGTTTGCTCGGAACAAGACAAACCATCTCACGGAACAGAATTTTCAGCAAACGGACGATGTGCGTGCACCTCTTCCTCTATTTTCAAGCACTGCATTCAACGTGCAATAGTTCCCATAATATTTCTACACTTCTTTCTTTTCTAGCAAAACAATCGAAATGTAGCACGAACACGAAAGAAGAAACGTGTCGCGATTTTATATTACAAAAAAAAAAAAAAATAAACGAAAAACGAAAGTTAACTTAATTACAGAATATTTCTACACATTTATGTGGAATTTGTCTGATTGTAAGAAGAGAGTGAAGCAACTGTTAATTTCAGCTTGCAAAATTATACAGAACATTTCTTTATTTCTATATTCTATTTCTAAATAATTGTGTACAATTTTATTTAAATATTTTAAATAGTACAGTTAAAAATACAAGAATAAATAAAAATAGATAAAAATATAGACAAAGAATTAACTTCAGCTTGCAAAATTATACAGAGCGTTCTTTTATTTCTATATTCTATTTCTAAATAATTGTGGACAATTTTATTTAAATATTTTAAATAGTACAGTTAAAAATACAAGAATAAATAAAAATATTTCCCAATAGTC